TTTGTCAGAGATAAAACAAGAATTCGTTGTGTTTTAATACTACCAACATTTATATCATCAAATCGTTACAAGGAATGAATCTTTCGGAAGGTGATTCTCGTGCACTTAACACGTGGCAGAAATTGTGTTTTAACGCCGAGTCGTCAAATACAAGTCCTTCGTCAAGAGCGGACGCCTGGCGAAGATTGCTTATTCAAATTCACACTTTGAAAAGAAGGTTGGTGGATGTATAATAAGACAAGCTTAAGCTTTTTGGCCCATAAAATGTACTGCATTGTATTTAATTGTTATTGTATCGTGGGCAATTTTTATCTATTTATGTCGTGATGTTATAGTTGAGCGGTACTGTACTTTCTATCTAGTCCCAGTTGTTCAAACGCTGGATAATTATAACGCTATCCACTGGATAAATATATCTATCCAGTGGATGATGGCGCAGTTTGTTTCCCTAATAATCCTACTTATCCGGCCCCAGTTTTTCAAAAACTGGATATCGCAATCCACTGGATAAATCACTATCCACCGGATAGCGGCGCAATTAGTTTCCCTAACACCTATGCATCACTTATCCCCTGGATAGTGCATGATTTATCCGGTGGATAGTGCTATCCAACGTTTGAACAACTGGAGCCTGATGTTTAGTGATTTATGTGGTGGATAGCACCATCCATCTTTTGAAACAATACTATTCGATAACCTACTCTTCTCCAGACGTGCCCTATACTGAGACAATTATGTACCAGTCAATTCCAAAACCACTCATGCCCCTGGGTAAACCCCTGAGCATTCGACTTTTTTGAAAAATTTTGGTCAAAATCCCTGGTATGTTGGCAGTTAAGATGGTCAAATGCCCCAATGGCTAGTGCTACAATAAGCATCAAATCCCCCACCTACCAGTGACATTTCCAAAATAAATATGTCATTAAACACAACTGAAATTCTACATCTGAAGTCTCAGAAAGCTGTCTTACAGAGGCTTGTTCATTTCAATAAAATTGTTGTATTTCCAGAAAGCCTGCATTTATTGCGCTTTTTCAAAGGCTCTCAAATGCTCCAACAAAACAGTGAATATAGGGGCAATGACCTGTGAGTGCAGTGCACATGCTGAATACGGAAAGAATTATGAAGTCCTTTTGCTTGCTTTTGGTCCACTGCCCAACTGGGTGGTCCTCATTTTGGGTTAAATTCCCCACTTTACAGAGCAAAACTCCGGTCAAATCCCTACGGTATGACCAGGGGGGATGGGTGGTTTTGGAATTGACTGGTACATTGTAGCGCCAGTTTAACTAGTGTGACTATATAGTTGCTGCTAGTCATAACATTCCCATCTTCCTCTGATCCCTTACAAGCTGTTCCTCCAAGTTTTGAGCATGGTCTTGTACTACTACATGCAGCTATTTTGACCTGAGGGAAAGGGATCACAATCAAAATGTGGGTGATTGTGTAGGCAAAAGAAAGGAAATCAGGTAGTAAAGTAAAAGTCACAAAACCAGACAGCACTATGTTGCAGAGCCTTTGATGTATTTTACCTTTTGCATAAAAAATAGCCTAAGAAAACAGCTGACATTTGGCGATGCCGCCACTGGTTTCCCGGCCAAATGACGTCTGAGAAACATGTGCAGAAATTCCATACTGATGACACGTTGTTACCCAGATGTGGGTAGTGCTTCTGATTAGTTGAATCAAATTTCCCACGCAGCACGACCAATCAGAAGCACTAACCAGATCTGGGTAGTTAATCATCATCAGTATGGAATTTCTGTGATTGTTTCTCAGATGTCATTTGGCAGGGAAACCAGTGGCAGTGTTGCCAAATGTTGGCTGTTTTCTCAGATTAGATAAAAACTCCTGTGTCGGAGGTTGATTTTTAATAGTTCAATTTGTTTGAAACCCAAGTGGCAAAACTATGGCCTCCGAGGCAGAATGTGTCAAAGTTACTGTACAGTAGTGCTTATTGTGAAGCCTCCCCATGGATGTGTCGGTTTGTTTTTCATTAACTGTACAGTATATTCTGACATTGAACTTGCTGAAGCCATGGGTAAAGAGATTTGATGCAAATGAGCAATGTCAGTCTTGTAAACTGTAAACCTGTAAACCTGTAAAAAAACTGTAAACATAAAATAATTAATTTGATATGAACCAATATTAAAAGAGTATGTGTAAGAGTTGAAGACATATTTCAAGCTATTTTAGATGACCTAAATGTCAAAATTATCTTCCCAAGGGAGCATGTCTACAGCTTCCCTTGTATGCTCATTCCACAGTGTTCAGGGCCAGATTCCAGCTGATAGTCTGATTACCGCTTAACTCCAGGAGTTAATTTTAATCCTTGAGGTTGCACTTTGTGTTGTCATAACTGGATCTAGGAGTTTTGCATTAACATTGTAGACAGAAAAATTTCCTTAAAATTTGTCTTAACCCTGGGTTTTAATTTACTATACTTTGAGAAACTGGGCTTGGTTCAATAGGAAGAAAGACTATAGAAAAAATTACAACCCAATTGCAGCTAGTCCACCCTTTTGTATATAAACCTTACCACAGAAATGACAAAGTAAAATTTGCAAGTTTGCCATTTTTTCTCTGGGTCAGTTGTATCAGAAAATTAAACACTCTAATACAAATAAAGCATTCTTGTTTCTCTTTAGCAACAAAGTGTCTTGCCAGCTTTACACAAGGTTGTTACAGACATTTGAGGCTCACTACTGTCAAGCTGTTGATAATCAGGAACCTGGTCAAGGTACTACTTTAAAATAAATGTTGTGTTATATGATCGGCTGATTTGCAGCAATTTTATTGATACAGTGCAGCCCAGTCAAGCAATCCAAGAAAAACAACATTTTAAACTTGATTATTTCTACATATGAGGAATTAAAAATTCATTAATGATTCTGACCAGAGTTGAATTCTGAATTGAGTTTGACTTGCCTTGTATTTTTTGTTCTGTTTGTAATTTGTTGTTTTCCTTCATCCAGTGGCCAAAATATTGCTAAATATGCTTTTAGAATAGGGTAATGAAGTTTTGAATGTATGAAAATTATGTATGTGAACTGTGGAGAGAAGAATTAAATGAAGGATGATCATCGCAGTTATATATGCAACTTTTGCAGTTGCAAAAGAAAGCCTGCAAACAATTGAGGCTTGTGCGGGATTTGAACCCTTGACCTCTACAATACCAGTGCAGCGCTCTACCAAAAAAAAGCCAACTATGAGCAGGTTGTTGAATTTGTTCGTTATAAACCTGTGAAAGGATGACGATGAAGTTTTGAATATGTGAAAATCATATATGTGTCAAAGGATGATCATCGCAGTTATATACGCAACTTTTGCAGTTGCAGGCTTGTACAAGATTCAAACCCTTGACCTCTGCAATACAAACAAACTTGTTAGCTTAATTGGTAGAGCACTGCACCGGTATGCAGAGGTCAAGGGTTTGAATCCCGTACAAGCCTGAATTTTTTTCAGGCTTTCTTTTTGCAACTGCAAAAGTTGCATATATAACTGTGATGATCATCCTTCATTTAAGAATAGGATAATGAGGCAATAAAAAAAGAAGACAAGAGAAAAAGAAAAGTGAATCACCACTGGTCACCCAACCAGTTCCCACTCACTTGAATCGCATTACTTGAGTTGAGCTATTCACAAGGAGTTTTGCAAGGATTTGCAAGACAAGTATTGCTAGTTATTAAGTTAATTTATTCAGACCTTTTTAGGTTAGTTAAAGAAAAGCAATGTTAGTAAACCAATTTTATAGTTTCTTCTTTTGTAGATAGTTTATGCAACTTAGCTACTGACATTTAGGGTATAGTCCTTAATGTTGAAATAAATTAATTCACACGTACATGTACCATTACCTCATAATGAGTCTAAAATTCATTTCCCTAGGCTTAAATAATTTTGCTGAAACAGTGTTAGCTCTTGTCTCTGGTTGCCGAAATGGTAAGTTGTTGGTGTATTTAAGTATTGGGCAGCTTCCTTCAGAGAATGCATGATATGATATGCTTTGCGAACAGAAGAGAAAGCAAACTAAACTGTTGTTGTGGCTAGTGCTAGTCTGCTACACAGCCGTTTTTAGTGTCGTCACGCAATGCTCCTCCCCACAAACGGCTGCTGAAAACCGAACTACATTCCTTTCCCTTTGTGTTTGTGGTCTAACGAACAAGCCAATCATGCACAAGAAGTTTGACAATACGTGAGCCGCGGGGCGCTAGGAAGCGAGCACGCTTCTCAGTTTTCCACAAATCAATCAATCGTCGCTGAATTTAGACGGGCTCTGTGTTTTCAAGCAACGAAAAGGTTAATTTGCAAAAAAGTTTGTTTTAAGCGGTCAAGTGAAAGAAAGGTTTGATAGGCCTAGCAGACTTTTACCAGGATCGGTTGGTTCTTCATTTAATGTGCATATGTACTGATATGTGATGAAGAATTTAAATGTGCCGGATGTGCTCATTGTGTTCCTGTGAATACTAAACTCTCAAGGGTACTGATTCAAAAAACAATCTTTTAAATTATCGATGAGCGATTTCCCGAACTATACCTGGCAACTTTATGAGCACATCCATGTTGTGCATCGCAATTTGCTCGACTTGCTTGCTGCTGGTGCTTATCTCCTAAATTTTAAATAGGACTCGACTACGACAACACTATTCTAGTTAATTGCTTGTTTTCACGCGACGTTTTGATTATTCTGTCATTCACACATGGGGCACTGATAAAAGCAAAACTGTTATTGGAGGAGTCACAGTACCGCAAACGTGGCGCGAACACTTTCCAGGAAATGGGAGCTGAATTATAATTGTCTAATCACGGGAAAGGAATGTAGTTCGGTTTTCAGCAGCCGTTAGTGGGGAGGAGCGTTGCGTGATGACACTAAAAACGGCTGTGTAGCAGACTATGGCTAGTGCATGCTATCATTAATTTTTTGTCTGCTTCCTAACAAGTTATCTGACATCAGATAATTACCAGGTATTTGGTTAATTTTTCATTATCTACATGTAGTTAGGTTTTCTAACAAATCAAAGAACATCATTTGTTGTCCAAGAAATTTCCAAAATGAATGACAACACCTATGACCAAAATCTGTCAGTGGGCTTTACTAAGACAGCTGGAGTCTGGCAGTTTCACTTTGTCTGCTGCAACTCTCAATCTAGCTCATCTCAGTGCTTCAATTTATGAGATTCCTGGAATTTGTCCCACCCACTGTGACCTGTGTGATTTTACCTATTGTACCTTGCAATTGAATTATTTTAATATGGCATGATGGAATCCCAATTACTGTGAACAAGATAACATTTTTTGGAAATTATGGTAAGGATGAAAGAAATATTGAGAAAAAACAGAAGACATAATAGCAACTTTTTGTCTTCATAATTTTATTTTCACAGAGAGTCAGAATTGGAGCTCAGGATTGTCTTTGGAATGTTTACAAACCCTTCCCATTTACAATTCCATTTTGACAAGAAAAGTGGTAATGAAATTGTATTTTTTTTGTTTACATTCAAGTATCAGTCATTTTCCCAAAAATTACCATTAATAACTCATTATGTGAATCAGTTTTTGTGATCTTTACCAGAATTTTGTTTGCGTAGACATAAACACTGTGTTTTTTAAAATAATATTTCTGCTTTTCTGCAATTTGTTCCAAGGTGTTGTGCTTAGCACACTATGGTTGTTTCATGACTTTTATGAACTGAAAAGTATCTTGTAAGTAAGAGATAAAGCCCGAGAATGGAGGTATTAAGCCATATACATCCCGAGGGCCGTAGGCCCGAATAAAAAGTATATGGATTAATACCAACATTCGAGGGCTTTATCTAACTTATTTCATGATATTATTCATGAGGTATAGGTTACATAAAGGTCGTCTTTCACAGGGCAATAATTGGCCACTTGTTTTTGACATCTGTTTGTTTGTCATTTTTTGATCCAACCGCAGACAATGACGTATTTCATTGTAAGTATTGTAAAGGTTTTCACACAGCATCGAGAAAGGGCATTTCACAGGTCATAATTTGTTCAAACCACTTGTTCTCACTTAGGTGAGAAACGGAGAACAATAGCACATTGTTTGTTTGCTAAGCCGACAACAATCAAATTTCAAACCTTTTGTGTTTTTTTATTTTTGTCTTGGTATTTTTTGGAGGGCCAGTACACTTGTGAGAGCGGCAATGGATA